TGTGGTGGTGGGCAGTAGCAGTGTGGTGGTTAACAGCAGCCGGGTGGTGGTGGGTACTAGCAGTGTAGTTGTGGGCAGTAGCAGAGTGGCGCTGGGTAGTATCAGTGTGGCGCTGGGTAGTATCAGTGTGGCGCTGGGTAGTAGCAGTGTGGTTGTGGGTAGTAGCAGTGTTGCGCTGGGTAGTAGCAGTGTGGTGGTGAGCAGTAGCAGTATGGTAGTCGTCAGTTGGAGTGTTGTTGTGGGTAGTAGCAGCTGTGTGTGGGTGCTGCGCCCGGACTGCCTCAGGGCTTCGACCAGCTGCCGCAGCTGCTCCAGCAGACGGCGGAAGCGGTCCCAGGGAAGGAGCTCCTCTGCCCGTGTCACACTCATCTCCATCTCCCTGCGCAGGGCCTCGATGGCGGTCACCCTTGCATGGAAGGCGGTGATACGGAAGCGGACCAGCTGCTCATTCTGCACCTGCCGCACCACGGTCTGGTTCACGGCAGTCACAGGTTGCGCAGAACTCCCCTATGCGAATGCGTACACCCGCTGTCGCTGTTGCTCTGCCCGCTCTGCTCCTGCCCCTGTCCCTGTCCCTGTCCCTGTCCCTGCTCGTGTCGGTGTTGGTGCTGGTTCTCCCGCCCCCCTCTCCTTGACGACTCTGTCCCTGCCCTAGCCGCAGCCCCAGCCCCCGTCTCTGCCCCCCCGTAAAGCGTCTTCTCGAGAGCCTTGCCCTCCAGCAACAGTGCTTTTAGGGGGTTCAGGGGTCTGCTGATGAATGCGTCCAGAGAGATGCAGCGCAGCTCCTCCAGTACACGTCCCTCCGCGCCAACTAGTAGCACCGAGCTGCACGGGCGCTGGAGTTACCTGGAGGCCAGCAGCTGCATAGCCTTGTTGGAGGGCGCGCACGCCAATGTGCGCTGCTTCACGCGCTGCTGGTGCAGAAGCAGCGCCACCAACGTGGTGATCTTGCCCGTGCCTGGCGGTCCCTGCAGCAGCAGCACCCCCTCCGTCATGCCGCAGAAGATCATTACGGTGCTGTGCTGCGCTGGGCGGGGTTCAGGCGCCCCGTGATTGAACGACTCACAGTCCCCACAGCCTCCATAGCCGCCGCGGTCCCCGCCCTCGCAGTTTTCGCAGCCCCTCCCGCATTCTGGTGCAGGGGTAGGAGAGGCACCTCTGCGCGCAGCACGGCGCCCAGCACGCTGCTCGGTCTGAGCGGGTCCAAAGCGCAGCAGGCCTCGTAGACGCGCTGCTGCCCCACCAGACCTGTGAGGTACTGCACCCGCCACACCGCACCTGCTTGCAAAGCGTCCGGGTAAGCGAAACCCAGGCTGAGAGCGACCCTGTACCGCGCTCTCGGCACTTAGTGGCGATGCCGAGCAGCAACGGTGTCAGCGTGTCTTGTGCACTCAGCAGCACTGCATTCATGAAGGGGCTGGGCGCATCGATGCAACCCCTGAACTGCAGAAAAATGGGAGTGAGGGGGCTCGCTCGGGCGTGCTCTACTAGACGCAGTGTGTTCCCCTTGTCCTGTGTGCGCGCCTGTGTGGCATCGCCAAGACGCCGCACACCCTCCGCCACTGCCGTCCGTGCCTCCTCCAGCGGCAGTACCGCATAGCTGCGGCAGAGGTTGCCTTTTGAAGAAGCGTGGGCAGAGGAGCAAGAGCAGCGTTGGGGAGGGTGGCGCTCTCCGCACCTGCACGTCGACGTGGAAAGCTGCGGGTGTTTTCGACTGGTGCGCAGAATCTTCTTCGCGGGGATCTCTCTCTAAATCATCGTCGCCTGCTGCAAGAATGTGTCTGTCCTTCGTGAAGAAGTATAAGAAGCCAACGAGAATGCACCAAGCAGTTATCCATCGAATGACCACGACTACAGACCGCAGGCGTAGAGCATCATCGCTCAAGACCGAGCTTGTTGAGAGATCAATCACGCCTCCTAGAACCATTGGCTTCCTGCAGTTCTATTCACAGACAAGAACAAACCCCTTCCTATTTGAGAAACTACTTGTTACTGTACAGGAAATCAGCCTATGGGCGTCTATATATGCATTTGCGAAGCATACGGCGTATTAGCACATACAGCATCTGTCCACACGTCTCACTAGGCGTACACCGACCAGACGAAGATGCCCCCGTCCTCGCCCACAGATACGATCTGCTTGTCGTCCAGGCTGAAGGCCAGGGAGGTGATGGACTTGGAGTGCCCGCGTACCTCGGCGCTGCGGTGCAGCGCCACTACTGGGGACAGCTGCAGCCTGAACAGCCGCATGACACCCATGGTCCCGCCCGTGGCAACCATCTTTCCGTCGTGCGATCTGAGAGGGCAGAGGGGGGGTACAGATACAGGGGAGAGGGAGGAGCAGAGAAAGGAGGTGAGAAAAGTGGCGGAGGTGAAGAAGGCGAAAGGTGAGACGGGAAAAGACGGAGGGATGCGCAGTGCCCTGCCACTCCCCACCACCCCCACTGCCACTCCCACTGCCCCCACTGTTCTACTCACATGGCCATCGCCAAGCCTTCGTCGTTCTCGTCGTCTAGGAACATCTGGAGCAGGGGTTCATTGGTGTGATTGTCCCATACGGTGATGCGGCGGTCCTGGCCCACGCTGACGGTGTGCGTCTGCCCCCCAACAGTCAGAGCCATGCCGTTGATGCCGCCCATCCGTTGCATGTGGCAGTGCATGCGCATCTGGGGAGGGGAGGGGGAGAGGACGAAAGGAAGAGGAGAGGAAGAGGAGGAGTAGAGTAGGGGATTATCAGCGGGTTAGAAGAGAAGAGCATGCAAAGAGTGGGGGTAGCGAGGAGTGGGGCGAAGGAAAAGTGGAGCAGGGAGCAGACAGCAGTGGGGAGGGAGCTGACAGCAGTGAGCAGATAGGAGAGAGAAGAGAGCAGATAACAGGCAGCAGGGGGGGGCGCACTCACCTCTGTCTTTAGGTCCCACCGCAGCAGGCAGCGGTCCCTGCACCCCGAGACGCACAGTGTGTCGTCATCGAAGAGCGCCAGGCAGGTCACCTTCTGCTTGTGCTCCTTGAGGTGCGAAATCAGCTCCCGCGACCGCAATTCCCACAACCGCACTTCACCGCTGGGCCCGCCCGAGAGAACGAAGCGGCGGTTGTGGCTGAGGCAGAGGGCGGTTACGCCCCCGGGGTGTGCATTGTCCAGCAGCCACAGGCTCTCGCCCGTCTCTGCGCTGTTGGCGACGATTCTGTGGGGAGGCGGGACGGAAGGCAAAGTCAACAAGGTGCGAGGTGGAAAGAGGGAAAAATAGGAGCAGTGCGTCCACTCGAATGGCAACCTCCTGGGTCGAGTGCTTACCTGCCGTCGGACCACCCGGAGATGAGGATGTTAGCGAAGGCCAAGCACTGCGGCACCGCGCCTCGGTCCTGCTCTCGCCGGGCATGGCTGGTGGACACCACCGCGTACTCTACGATGTCCCATACCTTCAACGTCCCTAGAGGAGACAGGAGCGGGGAAGGAGTGGGGTGTGGGGGGGCGAGACAGGAGCAGGACGGAAAGGACAGGGGGGACGAAAGTGAGGGGAAATTCACTGCACGAGAGTTAAGGGCGAGGGCGGGAGCATTTGTATATGTGTATGTGTATGTGGGAGTTGGGGGTTGCGGGGTGCTGTGGGTGGGTGTGCGCGGCACTGACCGTCCATTGACGCCGTGGCGAATCGCTCGTTCTGCCCTTCGTCGAATGCCACCTTGAGGATGCTGTCCGTGTGGCTCTCCGCGATCAGGATGCTCTGCAGGGAGGTCAGGTTCACGCGCGCCACGGTGCCGGTGGCTGTGGTGGCAAGGCACTCGCGTCGGTCAGGGCTGGCGGATAAACTCACCACGGGTCCGTCTAGCGGCATCTCTCCCCGGAAGTCTCCCCCATGCCCATAGATCTTCACCGTCCCGTCTCCGCAGCCGATGACCACCCCGCCCTCGTGGTAGAGGATAGCATTTAGGCGCATCTTGGTGGCCTGCACCACCTGCGCGATCTTGTTCACGCGGATGCTGCCGATCACGAAGTCACCCGAGGTGGTGGCGCCGTAGAGCGTCTCTCGATCATCCGAGAAGGAGACTGCGGTAACTATCCTCGTGATCGTGGCGCGCGCCTCGCCGGTAAGCTTGAGGTGCAGCAGGTCACCGGAGCGGGGATCCAGATCCCACATGACGATGCCGTCTGAGCCCGCGGTGCAGAGTTGGTAGTGGCTCGTGCTCCGTCGCTTGATGTCCTTCACGAAGCCGGCAAAGGACAGGCACAGCGTTCCCTGCGCTATCTTCGACGCTGACGCTATGATGCACCCATTCGACATATCCCACACGATCAGGTTGCCATCGTCTTGATGACCGATCGAAGCGAATACCATTTCATCCTCCGAAAACGCTATATCCTGCACCGAGAAATCGTGCTCCTGCAACTTATATATCACCTTCCGCGACTCATAATCCCAAATATAGATATCAGAGTTCTCTCCTTTCTGTCCAGAAGCGATGTACCTCCCAGAGGGGGATACAGCAATGCAGGTGATCATGTCATCATGCTGCCTCAAAAATTCCTGCGCGTGACCGTCCATGAGATCTCCAATAACTAAGTTTGCCCCACAGCTAAAAACATACTTCTGGCCATTGGGATGAAATAAGGCGCTATTCGGGATCACGTTCAGGCCGATGAAGTGCTCGAATTCGACTGACTCCGCCATAACTATAGAGGGCAGCCAATGGGGCGGCGCCTACAAAGCTTTCTGAGCGGGTATGTACGGAGTCCGCTCCGCCACTGAGCGCTGACCCACGGATGCGAAGAGTACGACAGCAGTAGATTCACCAGAAGCAGGCACTTGCTCCGAAGTCGGCGATGCCTGCTGGGATGTGCTGCTGGAACAGCTTTGCGTAACATCACACGCTTCTCTTCTCGTCGTGTCTGTGCTTGTCTGGAGAAACGGTCTGATTTCTCCAGTTCTCGTCTCTTGTTTTGACACTATTCAATTTCTTCATATTAATTTTGATTTCGTGAAGATGCAATCCAAACGACTATCTCCCTCGTTGTCTAACGGTTAGGATATAGGATTCTCATTCCTGGGGTCCGGGTTCGATTCCCGGCGAGGGAAAAACCTTTTGCCATTTTGCCATTTTGCCATTTTTTATGCCATTTTTGGACAAGACGGTTACTTTTGTCCTAACTTACTGTAGGGAAGCATCGCCCGTGCTAATGATTGCCACAAGATGCCTGATCATTTTCCCATAGGAACCCTAATGACGTGGAGAAAAGAGTGAGGCACATTTCTCCGCGCAGCGTCTTTACGCCATCTGACCATGACCTCCCCAGCAAATTCGTCCACGAATGCAGGAGCCACCACTCCAGACCACTCCAATCGGCGACATCCGTCGCAGCAGAGTGCCAGAGCTTTCTTCCAGTCCAAAGTTCTGCCACGTCGAGTACACGACACAGCGCTGGAGCTGAAGCACTTAACGAAGACTGCCATCTTTGGTTCCCTTGTCACCGGGGGCCTCCTCAGGCCCCAGCAGAAGCGCCGCTTCCGAGATGGGAGCACTCGCAAGAGTGTGCGTGGCCCTGGAGCGCGCAGCAGCATCAACGGCAGCAGAGCAGTCGATGACCATTGCTTGCTCCAGCCGGTCCACCTCGCGGATGGTGAAGGCCTCGCCTCCCAGCGCGAAGACGCCGCGGTTGTAGTTGTCATTTACAGTGCTCGACCCGGGACCCAGCCAGCATGGCGGTTTTGGTCGTCAGCGAGCATGCCGTTTGTCGTCATAAATGTGGCGAAGCACTTCCTCGCCGACGAGGTGTAGAACCTGGCGGGGTCACCACTCAACGGCTCGGCTTTTATCTTCACCGCCGACGCGATGTCCGCGCGCCGCAGGAGGTGCCGGTCCGCCGACCCGCCGGCACGGGGGGTCGACGGGTGATGTTTTTCGTCAGTCTTTTTTAAATTTAAACTTCCTATCACAAAATTGCTTAGTTTTACGCAACAGATTACCCAGTTGTCATTCTTCTTCTACAAAAACGCTTTGATTGGGTTTGGACCTTTGCCTTCGAATGATCTTGAGCCGATCCCGATCACGCCAGGCGTCCGAATGGCCAGGATCACCGGCGATTTGAGCGTCAATCTCGATCGCCTTTCCGCGTGCGAACGACCAGGATCACTCTCGGGTCCTTTCCCGCGGGAGTTTATAATAAGTCTTACGCCCCCACCCCACAGGGGCAGGGGCTGCTACCGTTGCAGTCGTAGGTCTTCCCTCCGTAGAACAAAGAAAGGAAAAGCTCACAGTTGTTTTAGGCAACTAGATAATTGTGAGTCACAGCTCACAATCACTAGTTTACAACGAACCAGACTCGAGCTCTCTCGGAGGCTGGAACTTAGGAGGAAGGCATTCAAATGCCAGACCTGGGAAAAGTCCCCTAAACAATAACTACAGGGGAACTACTGCGAAACATGGGAATAGCAGGTATAGTACGTACTACCCTATTGCTACGACTACACTACTCACTCCATTAATCTTATTACGCCTCTCGAGTGATATTGTACTAAGTGCGAGCTGATTGAATAAGCAGT